GACCACATGCAGAAGATTGAAACAGGACCCCTATCTATCCCCATGCACAAAGGTTAATTCCAAATGGATCAGAGACCTAAATGTAAAACCTCAAACCATAAGAACCTTAGAAAATGAAGGAAATACTCTCATGGAAATCGGAACTGGCATCCAATTCCTGAACAAAACACAAAACCCACAGCTCATAAGAGAGAAAATAGACAAGTGGGACCTTATTAAACTGACAAGCTTCTGCAAAGTCAAAGAAACCATCAAGAGAGCAGGGAGACAGCCCACAGACTGGGAAAAAATATTTGCCAACTCCAGGTCCGACAAAGGCTTAACATCCTGGATCTACAAGGAACTCAAACGTGCTGAAAAGAAAAAAACAAACAACCCCATTATAAAATGGGCAAAAGATATGAACAGACACTTCACAAAGGAAGACATCCGAGCAGCCAACAAACACATGAAGAAATGTTCAACCTCACTAATCATCAGGGAGATGCAAATCAAAACCACACTGAGATACCACCTAACTCCAGTCAGAATGGCAATTATCAACAACTCAAAAAATAACAGCTGCTGGAGAGGGTGTGGTGAAAAGGGAACACTTCTACACTGTTGGTGGGAGTGTAAACTAGTGCAACCTCTGTGGAAAGCAGTGTGGCGATTCCTAAAAGCTCTAAATACCAACCTCCCATATGACCCCGCAATCCCCCTACTGGGAATATATCCTGAAGAACACAAAATCACTCTATAAAAAAGATACCTGCACACGCATGTTTATCGCAGCGTTGTTCACAATAGCAAGAACCTGGAAACAGCCATGCTGCCCGTCAAAAGAGGACTGGATTAAAAAAATGTGGTACATATACACGATGGAATACTACGCGGCCATAAAAAAGAACAAAATCATGAATTTCGCAGCAACCTGGATGGAACTAGAGTCTATAATACTGAGTGACCTCTCACAGAAACAAAGATCCGAGTATCACATGTTCTCACGCATATAATGGACCTTAAACATCCAGTCCAATACTATACGAAAATGACTGACAGTACTGGGAAACTATGGTGGGGGGAGGGAGATGGGATTTACAGTAGCAAATATCTGTCTGGGAACAGGGAAACACCCCATATCAACAGGGTGCCTTAATGAAACGCAATTGTATACCTAACCCTTAACTGTACCCCACAACTTCATAATAAAAAATAAATAAATAAAAAATAAAAATAAAAAATAATAATAACAATAACATTAACAACTTTAAAAACATTATACTGTATCCATAATTCTTTTTTCTTCTTTTTTTGAGTCAAGGTCTAACTCTGTCACCCAAGCTGGAGTGTAGTGGCATGATCATGGCTCACTGCAGCCTCAACCTCCTGGGCTCAGGCAATCCTTCACTTCAGCCTCCCTAGTAGCTGAGACTATAGGCGAGCGCCACCACAGTTGGCTAATTATTTTATTTTTTTGTCAAGACATGGTCTCGCTATGTTACCCAAGCTGGTCAAGAATTCCTGGACTCGAGCAATTCATCTATCTCAGCCTCCCAAAGTGCTAAGATTACAGGTGTAAGTCACCACACCTGGCTGTATCTCATAATTCTAATATCCAATATTCATGCAGGTCTGCTTTTGCATCTGTTGTTTCTGAAAGTTCTCATTCATGGTACTTTTTTGTTTGTGCATTGTTGCTTTTTTGGTTGTGAATTGTTCATTTTTCTAATTCCTTAAAGCCTGGAATGAATGTCTTGTCTACCCAAGAGAATTATTCATATTTGCTTCATCCATGCATGTGTGGGCATTAACAGTCTGAGACAACTTTGAACAAAATTCTTGACTTGAGATTGTCCAACTTCCCAGTTAGTATCACTAGGAAACCAACCTGTTGTTATGAATGATCAAGACTTATATTCTCCACTGGCTACCCCACTCCCTTAGTGACAAGGTTCAAGACAGGCAACTCTCCTTGCAATTCTGCAGGCAGGATCCCAGGTGTATTTTGAGTTCACCATTACATTGCTGCTGTAGCTGTTCAGATCCTGCTCCATGATCCACTATCCATGTAGGGGGCTCCTGATTCAGTAACTGCCTATATGTATCTATTTACTTATTTATTTATTTTGAGACAGGGTCTCACTCTGAGGTCCAGTCTGGAGGACAGTGGCAAGATCATAGCTCATCGCAGCCTTGAATTACTGGGCTCAAGCAATCCTCCCACCTCAGCCTCCCAAAGCCCTGGAATTACAAGATACCATGCCAGACCAAAATCCTGGTTTAAATATTTCACTCAACTCTTGAAGTTTTGGGCATGAGTATCCTTATTTCCCTGCCACTTCATTAATAAGATGTTTCTCTATGTAAGTCACACTTTTTGTTGTTGTCTGAAAGAGAATTTGTCAAGGCATTTAATCTGCAAAATTGCTAGAAACAGAAGTTCCTTTTGTCATCTCCACCCCCCTTATTCTTTTACTTTTCTTCTTCATCACCCCATTCTGGAAAATACCCAGGTAAACTGAAATTGATTTGGAACACAGACAAAACACATCTATTGTCTCCAAAAATGCTCTACTTCCATCTTCAGGTCCCAAAGAAACATGATTTTATTAATAAGAAAAAAGACATATAAAATCAAAATTAATAAGTGAGATAAAGTATACATGCTATAATACCTTCCATTGTTGAAATAAACTCAATTCCATCCTTTGTATTTGTAGTTAATACATTGAAAAACTTCTTTAACTTTTCATTCATTGTAAAATTCTAGAGTATAAAATAAAACAAAATGATTACTTCTGTAGTTATTGTAACACATTAACTCATTGTGTAATTCATGTGATACCTTCATGGAGAGGCTCCACTTGTGGAAGTTTGCAGTCATAGGTTCTACCGCTAATGACAATAACAAGTCATTGGGAAAATTCTGAAACATTCTGCTCTGTAATGAACCTGAAATAATTTAATACAAAAGAAATAATTTAAATTTTTTTAAAAACCACTGAAGTTACCTGTCTGGAAAGAGAGGCCATTATGATGACATAATCAAGATGACTAAATAATAAGCAAAACACATCATTTCCACAGAAGTATTTCAATCAAGCACAAAATGTGTTTAACATAAATCCAAATATACTTCAGACCTGGTATTTTTCTTCTAAAAGTTGAGCATAAATAAATAAAATTCTTCTGATATAAGAATTATAGCGAGTTAGCTACAATAAGCAGAGACTCTTAACTCAAGTTCCCTAGACCGCTCTGAAAAACAAGTAAAATTTTCCACATGTGTATTCATTTGTTTTCTCAGAAAAAATCCAGAACTTTCTTTTTTTTTTTTTTTTTTTGAGTTGGAGTCTCACTCTGTCGCCCAGACTGGAGTGCAGTGGCCACTCCCGGCCACCGCAGCCTCAAACTGTTGGGCTCCAGCAATCCTTCCGCCTCAGCCTTCCAAGTAGCTGGAATTACAGGCATGCACTACCATGCCCGGCTGATTTTTTGATTTATTGTAGAGATGAGGTCTTGCTGCCCAGGCGGGTCTCGAACCCGCGAGCTCAGGCAATCCACTCACCTCAGCCTCCCAAAGGCACGGGATTACAGGCTGAGCCACCGAGCCCGGCTCAGAACTTTCAACATTATTTTCAAAGGTATCTGAGACTTAAATGATTAAAAATACCAACAATGTAAACCAGGCACAGTGCCTCACGCCTCTAATCCCAGCACTTTGGGAAACTGAGCCCTGTAGTTCAAGACCAACCTGGGCAACATAGTGAGACCTCATCTCTATAAAAAATACAAAACAGCTAAGTATGATGGTGCACGCCTGTAGTCCCAACTACTCAGGCAGCTGAAGTGGGTGGATCACTTGAGCCCAGGAGTGGCTGCAGTGGGCCAGAATTACATCACTGCCTCCAGTCTAGGCAACAGAGAAGTCCCCAACTCAGAAAAAAAAAAAAAAAAAATTACAAACAATGTAGAAAAGAGCATTAACCAAGACAAGAAATTTATATTCAGTAAACAGATCAAATAAGCAATATATCTTAGTGGTCAGCACTGAAGGCTCTGTAGTCAGATACATAGACCCAAATACCAGCAAATGGATAAAAGAATCACGGCAGCTGTTCCAAACCAGTCCCCTCATTCTTGCTAATGGGTTCCATGAGATCCCCAGAACTTTGAAACATCCTGGGTTTCAAGCATACACAACCAAAGAAGTCTTGACCTAATACATATACTTCCCACAGAATTTTTGCAGTGATTAAGTGAGGCAATGGAAGGAGCTTTCAAAAGTATAAAGCTTTCTGTAGGTTCTATGTATGACTACTACTAATTTTCTTCCAAAATCATTCCTTATGACAGGAATGGCTAGTAGTATTCAATTCTGAGAATTCAGAGATCAGGTAATCTATAAGAATCACTGCCTATTTACATAGAGTAGTATAATAAAGAATCTGTCTGGACTTGGTCCTGGGTTACTGACAGGGAGCTTCTAAAACCCCTGGAATTTCCTGAGTGTTAAGAGTACCTTTGTTATGCTAATAAAATGACTCAGGGTGGGCCTCCAATTATTTCAGGTTGGAGTCTGATCACTGGAAAGACTAGCCCCATGATTAGTAGGTTGAAATTTTGAGTCAGCCCAATCTCTAAGGATAGAATAGGGGCTGAAGACGGAATTCAGTCTTGTAGCCAATGATTCAACCAATCATGTTCGTAATGAAACTTCAATAAAAACTCTGACACTGAAGTTCATGGAGTTCAAAGTTGGTGAGCAATATATACTTTCCTGAGTTCTGTGAGTCATTTGTAGCAGTTGGTAAAATGTGTAGGTGGCCTGGGGATGTTGACTAGTGGTTGGCATCTGAGATAAGACAGTCTTTTTTTTTTTTTTTTTTTTTAATCTTGGTAAATTCATATTAATTCATTTTAGAAAGACAGAAAATTTTGACGTCACAAATATAACAACAGGTTTTTTTTAGATTTTAATTTTTGCTTTCCTTATATATACATTATTTGAAAGATGTGGGGTACAATTCAGGATTAGGTATACAAGTGGACATCATACAGGCAAAGTTTGGGCCTCCCTTTGGTCCCCACTTTGCCTGGTTTGAGATCTGGTACCCTCACGGATGATAAGACAGTCTTGCTGGGGACCATGCCCTTTAACTCGTGGGCCCACACTCATTCCAAGTGGTTAATGCTAGAACTAAATTGTAGGACACCCAGTTGAATCTGAGAGTGAATAGTTAAGGAGAAAATGTTGAGATAATAATAATAGCTAACATTTAAAAGAACTGTATTTAAAGTGCTTAGCACAGTGCCTAGAAAACATCATCTTATTTAATTTTCACAAAAAGCTCTAAGAATTTTGTAAATAAGGAAACTGAAGGTAAGGAAGGGGCACAGATTCCCCAAGGCCAAAGTGAGAAAGTTAGGACTCAAAACCAGGTTCAATTTCAGGATTCTGAATCACATTTTGGTCCTGATATTAGTAGAAACAATGAGTTATCAAACTTCACAAGACCTTAAGTCATCCTCATAAATAGGTACAAGGGTGGTCATTCACACCTCAGCCTGTGTAAATAATTTACAAATTAATGTTATAGGCATTTTTACTTTGATATTTACTACTTATTAATCCTGTCCGGTATACATTTTTAAAGACATTGAAAAGAATATTCTTACCTTGAGTGAAGTTCAGTGGCATTGCTACTTCAGTAGTATTTGTGAGTGTTAGTAAGTGCTCTCCACTAACCAGTACGGAAAGCTCTTCAAATCCAAGGCATGTGCCCCACACAGGAAAATAGTCTCCACCATCAAAACTCTTTCAGAATGACAGAAAGAGAAAACTAAGTTCACTAAAACTTTTCAAAACAAGAATAATGCATATCTTTTGTCACCAGACAGGCACTTAAGTTATATGTGGATTTCTGAAAAACTCTCCAGGATCCATAAATAGGCTAAAACTTAATATCACCTTAGACCAAGCTCACACACAGGCTGGAAAAGTTATTTAGTCTAGCAATTAAAAGTTTTAAAACAAGTATCTCAACTGCTTAAAACAGTTATTTAGGGAAATATTTAAAAGGAAGTTGGCAAAATACAAGAAACAGCAAGGTTAATTTAAAAATTGCCATCACTCATATGAACTTCAAAGCCAATTGGATGAATTTAGAGTCAATCATTGAAAGGACAGGCCAATAGCAGGAAATGCATTTTTCTTTACTCCCCTTTCTAAATCTTAATACAGTGATGAGAAAGTAGAAGCTATGCTTTTGGAGAAATGCACACTTTAAGTAAAATGAACTTTGCCGACTTTGTCTTTTCAGGAACAAACTTCCTGGTGCCAGGCATCAGAGGTATCTCATAGTAGCAATCAGGCTTGCCTAGAGTAAAGGGAATTTATAAGGCCTAAGACAGCATGCATTGGGCAAGGACTGCAAAAGTCATGAAACTTGTAATTACAAAAGTTATAACTGCTCAGAGGGGGAGCAGGTAGGGATTCAATCTTCCAGTAAATTGGGTACTATCTATGGTGACGTCAAGGATCCCCTGAAGCTACCCATTGGGAATGCATAGGAGATAAGGGGAGGTCCACCCTTCATTAGCTCTAAGGAATGTCATTTGGGAAGGTGCAGGAGAATTAGAATCCTTGTCATGCCCTTCTCTAGGGGCTATGATAATGTGGGTGGACACTAATGGGTCTCTGTGACACAGGATCTCCAAGACATCCACAGGTGGTCAATAAGGAAGTCATGGCAGTCACATGCAACATCTCCAAGGAAAAGATTTAAGCCAGGGCTTTGGGGGGCTACGATGCCACACTCACCTACAGTGTAGACCCACTCCCTGTCTGTGGGGGGGTGAACTTTTCTTAAATAAATCTTTTCTTCTCTCATCTCTGTGTGCTGCAATTCTTTGCATTTACTTGGATCTCTGGGTTCCCAGCGCCGCACCTCCGGCTTGCCAGCTCTGGTGGTGCTGCGCCTCCCTGCACCTCTCCACCCTCACCCTATCCGTACCCTAACAAACATACTCAGTGATCTATCCAGAAATAAAGAACAGAGTACTACATGTTCTCACTCATAAATGACTCTGAACTTTTTTTTTTTAAAGCAGGATTTATTAAGAGAACAGAAAAGTTCCCACAGTGGGAAGGGACCAGAGGTGGTTGCCTGACCCTGAACATTTACCATATACTGTAAGAAAGGGATTGGCAGAAGCAGAATACTACCAGGATGCAGGAGGAAACACAATGTCAATAAGGGTACCTGATCTCAAACCAGGCAAAGTGGGAACCAAGGGGAGGCCCAAACTTTATCTGTACGATGATCACTTGTATACCTAATCCTGAATTGTACCCCACATCTTTAAAATAAAATTAAGTTAAATAAATTAAATTTCAAAAATATTTTCAAAAATAAAAATCACTGTTACTGGTTGAGGGGAGAAATTAGTAAGATTTTGAGCTATGATGTAAAGGCAGTCACAATGTGAACATTACAAAGGAGAAGTCAGGGGGTCAGAGCTTGGTAAATGCACATGGAGTCTCACTGTCGAGAAAGGTCAACCAGGAGTGAATCAATTGGGAAGACCAGGTTTCAAGAGAGATGAGAACTAAAAACACAGGAACAATGCGCAGTACATAATAAAAAAAGAAGTGGATACAGATACCAGAATTACTAAGCCACATAAGAGCATGGTTCACATTAATGAGCATTAGGAGAGAGGGCCAGTTAGTTGTGCTCTTAGACTTCTCTGGAAGCACAGAACAGATGAAGTACACAGAAAATAGGTGGGAGCAGCCACTGGCTGTTCAAGAACAGGTGCCTCAAAGGTTAAAAGGGTGATAAGGCTAGGGTAATTGTGAAGGAAGTATTACCCTATGCTTAAAAAATGAACTATCCACACAGAAACTTACAAACATCCATCTGGAATAATAAGCGATAAATGATATTTACCTGTTTGGCCAAATTGTAAAATATTTCAGCCACTGCAGCGTAATCTGAGTGTATGAGGTCAACACTTCCTCCAGGAAAAAGGATTCTGAAACAACATCAAGCAAATCAAATAAGGTATATTTTGCCTCCTCCACCACACAGAGAAAATACACAATATTTTTATTTTAAATCAATTTTTCCTTATTATATAAGTAGTAAGATCACTAAAGAAATTTTAAAAACTAAAGCAAAAAAGAAAATATAAGAATATTTACAATCGTAGCCATTCAGAAACTCCTGCAATTAACAACACTTCAGTGCATATTCTTCCGTAAATTCTTCAGTAAGTCTACTTAACGAAATACAGTGAGGACAAATAAAAAGTAAACAATAAGGTCAAGATTACACAGAGGTAGAAATCAAATGGAGATAAAATTCCAGGCTTAAATTAAGGTAATCAGTGATGTCAAGTCAATTGCATATCCTGAGTAAGTTTTAGTTCACAAATAATAATTTTAACTATAAAAAATGGTCATAAAAATATTTTAGGCTAGAATTAAATATTTACAAGAATTTAATCCCTGATTGTTACCCTGAGATCACTTCAGAAATAAACATGGTACTAGAAATTGTTTTTAAAAAACCAAGTTACAATTTTAGAAAAAGTCTAGGAAAAGAGGCACTCACAAACTTATGAAATAAAATTTGATTTTATTTTACTCACAAAGGTGATATATTTTAAAAACTACTATGTTTTTATATCAACTTTCAAAATTAGCTTTAAGGCCAGGCGTGGTAGCTCAAGCCTGTAATCCCAGCACTTTGGAAGGTCAGGGCGAAAGGACTGCCTGAGCTCAGGGGTTTGACACCCGCCTGGGTAACTTGGTAAGACTTCATCTCTACAATGAATCAAAAAATAGTCAGGCATGGTAGCACATGCCTGTAATTCCAGCTACTGGAAAGTTGAGGCGGAAGGCTCACCTGAGCCCAGCAGGTTGAGGATGCAGTGGCTGTGAGTGTGCCACTGCACTCCCACGTGGGCGACAGAGTGAGACTCAAACTCAAAAACATAAAAATAAAAATAAATAAATAAAATTTTAAACTTTATAACAGGTCTTGAAACAACTAAAGATATTCAAAAGATGTTTAAAAAGTTGGATTAAACATATTAACATTTTGAAAATATTTAAATATTAATTCGAGATATGTGAACCATCACTTGTGAAACTGTTGTTCATTCAAGAAATATATCCTGCTTCTTCCATGAGTCAGACTCAGTCTTTGCCTGGAGAAACAGAGATGAGTGGTTTTTGCTTTTAGGAAGACCAGTCTAATAGAAAACATAAAGATCTGTGTGGTAGAACATCTGCCACAAAACCATGCAGAAAACCCTACAATTAAAAGTGGTTTAATGAAGTCTCATTAGCAGGTCTCTCTTTTCATTAACTCAGCATTTAAAAAGCTGCCTCTAACCAAATTTGGTATGTCTTACCCCAAAAGTCCTTTCATACAGTAAAATTTGACTGCCCTTCCTAAACCAAAAACTCCTTTAAGGCAGGGCCCTGTCTTTTCACCTCTGTATTACCACACAAAATAGTATGGGGTCAACCGCGCAACAGGGCTCAATAAAGGTGTTTCTGAACTTGCATTAGAATACTGCTCGTTTTCCAGTGACACTCAGAAGCAGTGAATAAGGGCCCTGGTTAATCCCACTTTGGAGTACATGTATTGGGACTATGCTAGGGAGAAAAGAAGAGGGGTAGCTACAAGAGAGAGAACCGGTGGAAATGCAGGAAACAAGGGAAGAAGACACAAAACGCACTCCCTTGTAAATTTAAGGACCATTGCTGGTTTCCAAGAAGACATAATGGGCATCTGGACAAGCTCGCTCCCAAAAGTATATATTCCTGCCTATACTGTAGGAATATTTCAGATTCCTTCCTAAGGGAATGCAGTTGAAGAGAGGGAGGAAAGGATAAAAGAGATCAAAAAGTATATTTTTGAGGCTCTACCATTATATTTATTCTAGCCTGAATTTCTTTGTCCATGCCAAAGTACCTTGCACATAGCACATACCAGGGACTGTAAATGTTTTACTAAACCGACTGATCTTACAGTAAATATTTGCTGAACCAAACTGAACTGAAGGTAAATTTTTGTGAACATAGCTTTTTAAAAAAGCACTAAATGAATATGGTTTTTAAAAGTAAAAAACAATAATAAATAAAGCTGCTTTTAAAGTTTCCCAGTAACCTCCCCACCACCACCACTACACTCCTAATCATAAACAACTACCATTAAAATTTGTTGCATTGATTTGGTAGAAATGTGCATAGCTTCTCAGCACTACCTTAAAAACAAAAGCAGTCCGGATACAGTGGCTCAAGCCTGTAATCCCAGCACTTTAGGAGGCCGAGGTGAAAGGACTGCCTGAGCCCAGGGGTTCAAGACCAGGTTGGGCAAATTGGCGAGACCTCATCTCTACCATAAATCAAAAAATTAGCCAGTGTGATAACACGCCTGTAGTTCCAGCTACGTGGAAGGCTGAGGCAAAAGGATCACCAGAGCCCAGCAGGTCGAGATTGGGGTGGCCATGAGCGTGCCACTGCATTCCAGCCTGGGCAACAGTGAGACGCCAATGCAAAAAATTTTAAAAATTTTAAAAATTTTAAAAATTTTAAAAACTTTTAAAAAGCAAATGGGAATATACTATATACACCACTATGTGCCTTGCCTTTTTCATGTAACAGTACCACACTGTTTGCAAGACAATAGTGATCCAAAGCAACACTTATAGATATCGCCTTTTTTAAAACCCCACATAGTATTTGATTAAATGTGCACAGTCTATTTTATTTAACCAATTACAAACTGGCAGACTACAGGGTGACTTCTAAAGTGGGGGTCTGTCAGACAATACTACAGTGAATGTGTTTGGGCCTAAGTCTTCAGGCGGGGGATGGGGAGGGAGAATGTATTCATAAAATAAAATTCCTCCTTAAGTTCCCAGGTCAAAGGGTATACGTATTTCTATTTTCAGTAGGTATTTCAAAACTGCCCCAAAAGACTATATAATTTACATTTCTACAAATAAAGTATGAGTACTTGCTTTGTCACACTCTTGCCATAAAGTATTAGCAAATTTTTTTTATCTTTGCCAATCTGATAATTAAAATAATTTTAATTGCTACAATGAGCTTTCCTTCCTTAAATTAAGAGTAACAAACAAATTTTCATGAATAAAAGTCTTTTTCTGTGAACTAACCCATCATATATTTTGTGGTGAGGACAGAAGATAGAAAAATTTTTTCCAAGTTCTACTCAAATTACCTCTGAAAGATAACCAATCAATATCTTCAGATTTAGGACTTATAAATCCCCTAGGTAAGCAGTATGCCATGCCATTCAAAGTGGCTTCAAAACATTTAAGACAAGCATTAAAAGAACAAAGATGGCCAGATGCAGTGGCTCACACCTGTAATCCCAGCACTTTGGGAGGCGAAGGTGAAAGGATTGCCTGAGCCCAGGGGTTCCAGACCAGCCTAGGAAAATTGGCGAGACCTTATCTCTGCAATGAATCAAAAAATGAACCAGGTATGGTGGCACACACCTGTGGTTCCAGCTACTTGAAAGGTTGAGACAAAAGGATCACCTGAGCCAGCAAGGTCAAGGCTGGCATGGCTGTGAGCATGCCACTGCACTGCACTCCTGCCTGGGTGACAGAGTGAGACTCCAACTCAAAAAAAAAAAAAAAGAACAAAGATTATGTCACACACAAAAAATTAGACGTGTCTACTATGTAACAATTATATATTTCCTAACCTGTCTCCTCTTTGAAGGGCTTTTTCATATCCCAACAAAATATTTCCTATAAAAGAACTAAGAAAACTAATATTATACCACTCTAAGACAGTTACATAGAAATGTATACTACTTATATGTATTTTCTTTTTCCAAAAGGAAACATATATATAGACACTCATGCACTTGATCAAATCAAAGCTGCCAACTTACCCATTAATGGATTTGAAAAGTATTTTATACTCTTCCTCTGAAAGATCAAGCCTGAAAACAATAAAAACAGTTATAAAATATCCACTTTTGAAACATAAGGAAAAAAAATAAACCTCTTAATGCAGTCACCATATTACTTTTCAAAAGTTAGATGATAAATAATTCTTAAATACTATACATTATTACTTCTCTACTTTCCTAGAGGCAGTTTTTCAAACTACATGAAAGCGACATCATTAGATCTTTGTTTTGCTAATCTGACAAGTAAACATGTTCTTCTGCAGCCTAATATATTTTAATATTGTAAAGTATGTGCTAGTTTGCAAAACATTAAAGACCATGAGATTTGGGTACCAGTAATTTCTGTTAGCTAAGAACTATAAAAGAAATATAAGGGCGAGGCTCGGTGGCTCAGCCTGTAATCCCAGCACTTTGGGAGGCTGAGGCAAGTAGATTGCCTGAGCCCAAGGGTTCGAGACCCATCTGAGCAACATGGCAAGACCTCGTCTCTACAATAAATAAAAAATTTGCCAGGTGTGGTAGCACACGCCTGTAGTTCCAGCTACTTGGAAGGCTTAGGTGGAAGGATCGCCAGAGCCCAGCAAGTTGAGGCTGCGGTGGCCATGAGCATGCCACTGCACTCCAGTCTGGGCAACAAGAGTGAAACTCCATCTCAAAAACAAAAAAAAACAAAAAAAAAGAAACAAACAAAAAAAGAGATATTAAGGGTATTTTGTAGTTTTATGTAAAGACTTAATTAAGAACTTCATTATTGGTCTAGCATGTTGGTTCACGCTTGGTTTACTCTGGGAAGCCCAAGCAGGAGAATTTCTTGAGCCCAGGAATTTAAGACCTGCCTGGGCAACATGGGGAGTCTTCATCTCTATAAATCATTCAAAAATTAGCCAGGTATAATAGCATGCACCTGTAGTCCCAGCTACTCAGGAGGCTGAGTTGGAAGGATCACCTGAGTCCTGGAGGTCAAGGCTGTGGTGAACCATGATTCTGCCACTGTACTCCAGCCTGGGTGACAGACTGAGACCCTGACTCAAAAAATCAATCAATCAATCAATAAAGAACTTTATTATCATCTCTATCTTAATAACAGGCAGCTTTGGCAGGTAAAAAACAATACAAATAAATGCCAAGTCTCTGCTTCATCCCATCCCCATAGACCAGTTGCAGCGGTCTAGGGACTACTGTGTATTCAAAAGTCAGAATAGTTCAGATCGAGTGTGAACTGACAGACTATAGAAAAATCACTATACACTGGCCTAATTGCACAGGTAATTATTCTGAAGCACCCTTGATCGAACACCCCTTAGAAGCCTCCTAACAAGTGCTATGTTATTGATTATTTTATTCTCTTTCACCAGAGAAAACTGGTGGGATTAATCTGTGACAATTGGGGACGACCTTTAATTAAGTCACAGGAAGACGTCTGCCTTTCCAAAATTCAACAAAATGCAAGAACAAAGAAAATGAACATCATGTTTGTGAAATCCTTGCAAGAACTCTCCTACACTTAGCAGTCTTCTGTTTCTATAAGAGGACAGCATGGCATGCCCTCAACCTGCCCCAGAAGAAGTAGACTTATGATCCAACTACAGCCCATATCTGCCTGGCAGTTTTAGAGGGAATTAGAACACTTCATGCATTTAAGCAGACACCCGTGATGCCCAGAACACAGGGTGTGCTTTGTCAGCACACCCCTCTGGGCTCTCCTCTAAATCTAAATAAGCTCTGCAAGTCCAAGTCTATCATTCAGAAGTTCTTAGTAAATCTCCTTCTGGCAAAGAGCCACAAAGCAGTGAGAGACACTGGAATGGTGCTGTCCACTGTCTTAAAGAGAGAACAAATGGACAGGTAGCCCTGCCTTAAGAAGGGACAGGGAGGCGAAATGTTGAGTCCACACGTTTCCGGTATCCTGCCAGTCCAATCTGCCCAGATTGTGCCAACAAAAAAGGAACTGCTAGATGCATGCCTGTGGTCCCAGCTACTTGGGGGCTAAGGCAAGAGCATCACTTGAGGCCAGAATTCTTCAAACCAGGAGGGGCCACTACCACCATCAGGAGCCCGAATGGATTAGGATCATTCAGCTATACTCTGTGCAGGCAGGCTAGTTTCACTCATTTCATTAATTCTACTAAATGGTTCCCACCTTGTCCATGACTGAATTTTTGAGCCCCACTTATCACTATATCAAGGGCCCATTTGTTAGGTGGGAAGAGGGGGTGGTCCTAGTGCCTCAGGATCCTGGCAGAGAAAACAGGTTTTTCTGAACACAGATGTTATCTGCATGTTGTCAGATATTTCTTGAAACAAAAGTCCCTCTCAAACAGGGTATGAAAATAGTTCACTCTCTCCTTAACTGAAAGAAAAGGCTTAAGCCTAGGAATGAATGCAAATGACACTCAGCTTTAGTAGTATGAAAAGGCACAGTAGGCACAGTTGTCAAGAGAGTGCTTGCCCCATTTAAAATCAGATCCAGATAACTGTCTTCAAAAGAAGTCACAAATTTAGACTTTTATGAAGTGTTCCGATTTGTAAATGTTTTAAAATGCTACGTGAACAAAATCCTTTTTTTTTTTTTTTTGAGACAGTATGCTCTCTCTCTGTTGCCCAGGTTGGAGTGCAGTGGTGTGATAATAGCTCACTGCAGCCTCAAACTCCTGGACTCAAGCAATCCTCCCGCTCCAGTATCTCCAGTAGCTGGGACTAGAGGTACACACCACCACACCCAGCTAGTTTTTGTTTGTTTGTTTGTTTTGTTTTTATATTTTGCACACCTGGCCCAAAACACATTTTGAAACCAAAACCAGTCCATGGGCTGCTGTGCGCTACCTCTCAGGAGGTGGGACACTCTGGTTTTCCACTAGTCCCACAGTGGTAACTTACAATAATCTAAGAGCACCAAGCACCTGAGGGAAAAAGAAGCAGAGAAACGGTAGAAGCAGATCAAAGACAAACGACTTAATGTATTTCAGAATTTTGCCTAGATCTCCCATCTCTTCCTTTTCCTTTCTAAACTGCAGAAGTTGACCTCCAGTATCCAAAAATTCGAAAATGAACCTAACATCATTGTATTGATCATTTTAGTCTCATTCTACATCAGGTAGAGGTAGACTTGCAGGCAAGTCTGAGAATTTAGCCCTCATGTGTTACATTGTTTCTATAAGATCATATGATTTCAATTCCAAACAACAGACCTTAAAAATGAACTTTGGGACATGCCTGTAATCCCAGCACTTTGGGAAGCCGAAGCAAGAGGACTCCTTGAGCCGAGGAGTTCGAGACCAGCCTGGGCAATATAGGAAGACCTTATCTTTACAAAAAAAAAAAAAAATCAAAAAATTAGCTAAGCATTATGGTGCACGCATGTAGCTCCAGCTACTTGGGAGGCTGAGGCAGAAGGATCACCTGAGCCCAGGAGGTCGAGGATGCACTGAGCCATGATTGTGCCACTGCACTCCAGCCTGGGCAATAGAGTGAGACTCCAACTAAAAAACAAACAAACAAAAAAAACCTGAAACCACAAGCTGAATTAACCCTTATGCTGACAGTCATGTTCTCAGTGTCTCTGTCATAAATACAGCATCTCGAGTAGCTGGTAACTACAGGTACACACCATCACACCCAGTTAATTATTTCTATTCTTTGCATGCCCAGCCCAAAACATACTTTTAAACCAAAAGCAGGCCATGGGCTGCTGTGTGCTACCTCTCAGGAGGTAGGACACTCTGGTTTCCACCAGTCTCACAGTGGAAGCTTACAATAACCTAAGAGTACCAAGCATAGGAGAAAAAAGGTAGCAGAAAGAAGGCAGAAGCAGACCAAAGACAAACTGCTTAATGCAAGTCATTTGGTTTCAAAACTTCCAGTTTCAAAACATCTGTCATTCTTATCTACTTCTTCCCTGTGCCCTTTTATTAGTCACCATATCTTGCACCTCACTTGGTAGCCCAGGCAGGAGTGCAGTGGTATGATCACAGCACACTATGCCCAGCTGATATTTTACCTTTTGTAGAGACAAGGTCTCACTATGTTGCCAAGACTGGTCTTGGAATCCTGGGCTCAAGCAACCCTCTCGCTGCATCCTCTCAAAGTGCTGAGATTACAGGTGTGAGTCACCATCCTGGCTATCTTGCTGATTTTTTAAGCACACTTTCCTTTCAAACCCACACCACTGCTCTAAGCCTAGCCCTCATCACTTCACACCTAGCCTACTACAACCATCTCTAAACTGGTCTACCTAGCTGTTATCTGTCCTGTCTCCTATCCATGTCATCAGCGCTAACATACTAAAAGAATAGCTTGCATTAAGCAACTTCCAGATGAAAATTTTGAAACACTATTCTGAAGACTCCCAGGAACCTCTTCCTCAGCTCTAAAACTCCAGTATTATCTGGGTTCCAAATAAGATTTCATTTTTTTTTCTTTTTTGAGTTTTCCTAGAAGCTGCTTTATGAAAGTTGACACTCCTATGTAAGATTTCATTTTTAAATTTATATCTGCTACTAAAACATGAAAGACATCAAAAGCAAATGCTCATTTTGGAACACAGACAATTAAATGTAAAAGATCAAAAAAGAAGACAATTCTTAGGAATCTAAACATAAGATGATTTGGGGTACAATTTTCTGAGTTGTAGTATTTATTTATTATTAATTAATACTATATTTGAACTGTTAATATTATAATACTATATTTATTATTAATACTATATTTGAACAGTACTTTTCTTTGTAATAATTTTTAATGAGCAATTCTTTACAAAAACAAGTTGCACAGAAAAAATAATTGTTTTGTGTGTAAAGTCACTCAAAATGGATTAGATAAGGTTGCTGAGAGATTCTAAAATATACTAATTTTAGTTGACAACATATTATACTTATTAGAATTTGTTTGTTAGCTCTTTCCAAATGAAAATATGAGAATCCAACTCATTCCAAATAAAAACATGAGATGCAGGCCAAGCACAGGGGCTCATGCCAGTAATCTCAGCACTCCGGAGGCCGAGGTGGGAGGATCACCTGAGGCCGGGAGATCAGGACCAGCCTGGGCAACACAGCAAGACCTTGTCTCTACAAAAAAAAAAAAAAAAATGAGCTGGGTGTAGTGGTATGCAACTGTAGTGCCAGTTACTCAGGCAGCTAAGGTGGAAGGATCGCCTGAGCCTAGGAAGTCAAGTTTGTGGTGAGCTGTGATTGTGCCACTGCATTCCACCCTGGGTGACAGAGTGACTCACCAAAAAAAGGATGAGTCATTTTATTCTTACTAGGACATTTTACCACAAAAATAATGTAGTTTTTTTAAAACTGCAATCTCTATAATTTATACAGAAGCAACACTACTGCATTAGTCATTTGCAAACTTTTACAGTATAAAAGTATTTTTAAAGTCATCTTCTAAAAATCTCCTTCATTCCCTAAGGGTTCCCTTATCCTAACATTATGGAATAAAGCTAGTTAAATTGTAGATTCTTTTACTCCATTACCTTCATGGTGTCTGTGAGGCTACCTTTTCTGGGGCAAAGGAAACTATAATTTCATTATCAATGCTAAAGTATATGACATACAGTACCTCTAATGATGTGACATATACACATCACTACATATACACACAGTTTCATACGTTAAACAATTCAATGAGACCCTCTAGGCATTAAGTTTGCGGCAAAAGTCAAGTGCAATGTCACAACATTAAATGATATAATCATAGGAGAGAAAGCATTAATGTTAGAGATAAAATGTAGCAACTTTTTTTATACAATATAAGAAACTTTGACCCATACCTTACTGGCACAACTCTTGCACCTGCAGACTCCAGATACTTTACATAGGATGCAGCAATATAATATTTTCCAAGATTTTGCATGACCTCATGATGCCATTTTTGCATTAATATTCCTAAATATAAAAAAAAATTTTTTTTAGTTCAAGCAAATTCCTTTTTTTTCTTGCCTTGAAACTAAAACACGTCACAGTAGAAATACTCTAAAATATTTTTTCAATTCACAAAATAAAAAGCTTCTTCTACAAGTCCATCCATAGACTTTGGGAATGGATGGAAGAGGCTGATCTGAGTTTCAAGTATCCTCTTCTCTCTCACATCAGGGAGGCCAAATAGGCCCAAAAGCAGGTTTACAATAGCACTGCCATCCTTCATGCAACCTTAGTCCTAGAATCCATCTCAAGAGTACAGATCCTTAAATCTACAAGGCTACCCACTTCCCACATACACACTTGGATTCCTTGACAACAAAGCAAAAGGGTGAAAACATCTTCCATCCACAACTCTCCAGCATCACCAACAAGCAACACCACTTTAATCCAAACAACCAATATCTTGCCTCTCCCCACCAAACTACTATGATAGTCTCTTTTTTTTTTTGAGTTGGAGTCTAACTCTGTCACCCAGGCTGACGTGTAGTGGCACACTCACGGCCACCCCCAGCATCAACCTGATGGGTTCTGGCAATCCTTCTGCCACAACCTTCCAAGTAACAGGAACTACAGGTGTTTGCTATCACACCCAGCTAATTTTTTTATTTATTGTAGAGATGAGGTCTCACCAAGTTGCCTGGGCTGGTCTCAAACCCGCAGGCTCAGGCAATCCACTCGCCTCGGCCTCCCAAAGTGCTCAGATTACCGTATGATAGCCTCTTAAAAGGTATCCCTATATCTTTTCTTAAGAAACCCCCCAGATCCAACCAGTTGCCACATGGAAGCAAATCTCATCATATCATCATTCCTTCATTTATTCCATGTATATTGTTGAATCACACTATATACCAAGCAATAAACTAGGTCCTTTCATTTTGGGAGGCTGAGGCAGAGGATTGCTTGATGCCGGAGTTCAAGACCAGTCTGGAGAATATAGTGAGACCTCATCTCTATAAAAAGATCAAACAATTAAGCCAGGTGTGGTGGAGCATGCTTATAGTCTCAGCTACTTGGGAGGCTAGGATGGACAGACCACCTGAGTCCAGTAGCTCAAGGCTGTGGTGAGCCATGATTGTGCCTCTGCACTTCAGCCTAAGCCATGCTGTGAGTCCTCAAGTCAAAGCAAAAGTTAAAAAATAGGCCAGCACAGTGGCTCACGCCTATAATCCCGGTGCTCAAATCTAGGAGTTCAAGACCAGCCTAAGCAACATAGCAAGACCTCATCTCTACAAAAACCAAAAAAACTAGCCAGGCATGGTGGCATGCACCAGCTACTCAAGAAGCTGAGATGAGAAGATCACCTGAGCCTAGGAAGCTGAAGCTGTGGTGAGCTCTGATCATGCCACTACAATCAGCCTGGGCAACAGAGACCCAGACTCAAAATATAAAAATAATAATAAACTAGATGCTAGAGACACATGACTGAACCAAACAAAAAATTCCTGCCCTGCAGGCATTCATTCTAGTGTGTAGGAAGGAGGGGAGAGAAGACAAACAATAAACAAGATAAAAAGGTGCCATAGAGTGTGATGGCTGGTGATATGTGCTAAGGAGATCAAGCAAAGGAAGAAGGTGGATGGGGGGGGTGTGAGTTCCCACCTATAGAAGAGAAGGGAGTCTCAGTCACTTAAGCAGGGTGGTGGGGCAAATCCTCCCAGAGAATGTAGAACATAACACTTGGGCCAGGACTTCAGAGAGGTGAAGAAGTTAAATCATTCAGATATCTAGGGAAAGAGTGATCCAGGGCGAGGGAACAGCAAGTGCTATGGCCATGAATCATGTGTGTGCCTGTCACACAGCAAGAAGTTCATGTGACTAGAGCCATGTGAAGGAAGAGAGAAAGCAAGAGAAAATGAGGTCAGAGAGATACAGCTTGGCAAAGGTCACCATCTTGCTTAAGGACTTCAGTGGGTCCTTAACTTTAATAAACTCTGAAAGACCCTGTGTGCTCTGTCCCACCCACCTCCCTGGACTCCCTATACCACAGAAACCCAAACCCTGGCATAGTACTGATATCCAGTACAGATTAAAACATGTCTGACCAGTGAGTCCTTGTGCCTATTATCATTCAACACTTCACCATTTGGAAGACTTTCAGTGTCTCTGTAAGCCTTCTGACAGGAAGAGCTGTCGTCTGTATTAATCACTTCTGTATTCCCAGTTTCTTACAATAACTGGCATTTATCAGGTGCTCGGTTAACATATGTTGAACGCCAAAATTTGTTCAGTAAAATTTTTTTCTTCTCGCTGGCAAGATCATCTTCACTAAGGAAAATTAAATCTGGTTAGAGAAAGAAGAAATAGGGACTGCCATAGGAAATAGAGCGGTGCAGGGAAGAGAGGGGTGAGGTGCCACAAAGGAGGGCATGAGGCTTCATGGGAGTACAAGGTACCAAAAACAGAGTATATTAGAGTAAGTTCCATCAGTATCTCCCTCAACCCCACACCCATACATACTTTTCCCATCCTGGGAAAAGAACTCAGGCTGTACTCCCCATCCTCCAAAATGTGACCAAAATTCTACCAATACTCTAAGGCGATCGCACAAATTCTGTGTCTTTCTTGTCTTTGAATCCTTTACACTTCCTAGAGCAATGCCTTGTGCATAGTAGCTGTTAACTATTTTGTCTTAATTGATCAGAAGTGACTAAAAGCATAATAAAGCATAATAATAAACTAGATGCTGAGTCCAGGCTGTGATGTGACCAAAATGACCAAAAGCATACTTCCTTTTTCTATATTTGACCTAAGGCTACCCTTGATTCCAGGAAAGGGGAAAGAATCTCTTCTCTTCTTTTTGTTCTCCTCTCTAAACCCACAATATGCAACTCACTACATATAGTTATATTTTAAGCTAATCCTCCTTGGAGAATCGTACCACCATGTTAAACAGATAAAAAGATCAATTCAAAAGTCCCAAATATTGCTAAGCAACCCATTTGAAAATAGGGCACTACCATATATGTGAAAAAACACTCATTTATTTTGCTTAGTTACAGAATCAGTGCTCATCTTCATAGAAGAAAATATATAATGTGAATGATATAAACCTACAGATAAAATAAAAAAACGAGTCATAATAGTCCACACATAAATTTCTTTTTGCAAAATTCAACCCCAGGATAATTTCTCCTGGGTAGCTTTCCCTGGCCCTGTCTCAAACGTCTGTTCTGGTATCGCAATCTGATTTAACTCTCTTCTTAAAACACAAACATGTTGGAAACGAAAATTCACAGGCTTCACTTTAACACCAAATAGAACAGGCCTCTGATATTGAAAAGATGACCAAGTCCAAGCCATACCTTAATGTCTCGATTTCGTCTTAGAATGTACCTTGAAATACAACCTCGACCAGCGAAATTAAGGCACAAAATGTGCAGGTGCAAATTAGCCAAAACCCCTAGCTATGTGCAAAAGAAAATTTTTCTTTTTAGTGGACAAACCCCTAGCTATGTACAAAAAAGAGCCATAGGCGTCCGAGGAAATCAGCGAGGCCACCTGCTGATTTCAGTGCGCCCCACACGGTGTCTGGCCCGGGGTCCTATCGCGGTGTAAACGAAGGCGACACGTCGTAACCCTGAGCTTGGGAGTCTTCCAGGGCGGGGCGTGCGACGAGAGCCCAGCAGCGGGCGGCGCCCGGCGCGGACACCCGGCCCCATCCCCCGCAGCCCCAACGCGGCCTTCTTACCAACG